ACGTGCATGGACTGTTTCTACGGACTCCTCAACGACGCGAGTTTAATGACAGCAAGAGACTCAGCCCCACAAGCAAACCAATCTAATTCAATCCACCCCATTATCACACATATAATAATACTCTCCGAACAAAAAGACTAGGACTCCGTAACCATAGACCAAATTCTTTTCTTGTCTTTATTCTATCATCATTTACTAACACATAAATCCCCCCCAAAACAAAAGACAAAATAAATAATAATTGATAAAACAAAACTTAATAAACACGTATTTTCCTTCCTTCACAAAACCAAAATAAAACTCTAAGCCCTTTTTAGCTACTTGGAAAGTTCGAACTGTTGGATCTGTTACTTGTACTGTTACTGTTGTTGTTGTTGTTGTTCGTGTTTGAACTGCCTCCTCTCCGATATCGACGTGATTGCGGCAGCCAATGCGGCGCGTGAAATTGGGATGGCGCCGTAATTGCTCGGGTCGCGCACTGACGTAGTATCACTAGCGACTGCGGCTGCCTGACTGTGGCTTCGGGGTGGCCAACTTGGCACCGTCGACCCGCGCGACTTCTGGAGCCCCGAGAACTTCGATTGGTTGTTGTACAAAGACTGCCCGAAGACCGCGGCAGTGACGGTGACTGCTGCGGCGGCGGCACCGAATCCCGCTGCGGCGCATTTGGGAAATTGAGCTGGAACTGTGGACATTCGGCGGCCTTTGGAATTGGAGAGGGTTGGGAGTGTGGTCAGGTCAATTAACAGTAGGGAAGGGCGCGAAGCGGAGATGTGGCCATGCTTGACGAGCAAGGCAGTATGGTTCGAGCCAAGAAGTGGAGTTCATTAGCGCCGTCGGTGCTCGAACATCGACGCCCGATAGGCATCGACGCGGCGGCTGATGTCGTTGACCGCCATCGCCATGGCGCGGAGGCAACGGATGGTTGTGGTTTCCCTCGTATGTTGTGATCAGTATCGTACGGTCATCGGCACATCTTTGAACCTATATATCAAATGCACAGATTAGTAAATATTTCCCGTACCAAAAAAAAAAATTTCCTGTATTTCATTAATAAGAGTTTAACGAAACAATCCTAGCTTGTTCTTACTTGTTTGCGAACGGGACAGCCCGTAGCCATGGTGCATCGATAGTAAGCCCTCGGGCATGGGTTCCCTTTCGCCATCTTCTGCCCGTACTTTCTCCATTGACAACCATCAGTTATCTGTGAATCGAAACAAATCGAGAGAGAAAAAAAAAATTCAATAAAATCCTCTCTAGAAGACGCGCAAAAAATTGAAACTCTACAATTCTATGTACGATCCGATCTACCGATCTTTTTAAACTGACCATGGGCGCCTCGGATCGGGCTCGGACAGATACACGGGCCTTCCTCATAGTCGCCTCTTGGGCCTGCTCGGCCCCCTTGGAGGAAGAATTCGCCAGTTTAGCCTCAGGGGCCTCCTCCCTCCCGAATGGCACCATCTCTTTGTTGGTAGGCGATGCCGAACGGACCGGGCTTCCGGCGTCCGTGGAGGAGTGAGAGGGCTCGTCTTGGGCCTCCGCGGCCGTGCTCGATGGGCCGAGATCCATGAATTGCCTCGGCATGATAGGGATCGATCCGTTCTCGACTTTCTTCACGTCAGTTTTCTCATCGTCAACCTGATCATTGGCTCGCTGGCTGCGCTGCTGCATAAGCGCGAGGAGATGCATCTGAAGGGCATTGTAGTTGTTGGTCACCTGGCTGAGAACACCTCTCAGTCTTTGATTCTCCTCGCTCATTCTTGCTAGTTCAGCTTGCATGGCCGCTAACTACAAATTAATAGCAAGATTTCATTCGTTAGTAATTCATAAGGTAAGGAGCGTAAATTGCATAAACTAGTTTTGTCATCGATCGGGGTCACGATATTTAAAAAAAAAAAATCAAGTACCTCATGTTTTGCTTCTTTATCGTCTTCATTCATCGACGACCCATCATCGATCGTCGATTGATCGCTGCCCGTGTTCACAGTGAGGAGGTTCAAACCGGTCTGAGTCATCACAAACAAGTAATAAATTAATTAAGATTTGCTAGAACAAAGTGAAATAAAAATCGCAGCTAAATACAATTAGTGTTATTAATTAAATAATGCTTACACTGATGTTGAGGTCTTCTTTCTTGATGGTGAGATCGAGATTGGTGTTATCGGCGGTAGTTGGCCGGGCCTTCTTCTCGCCGGAGAAGAAGTCCACCTCGTCGAAGCGATGGGCCGAGTCCATTGGCTGCTTGCGCTTGATGAGAAAAGGGAGGGAGACTGAATTGGGAGTGTGATCTAGACTCAATCCACCTCCTCCTTTGTCCATAGAATTCAGTTTTAGAGAGAGAGAAAGATAGAGGATTAGAGAGAGAGAGAGAGAGAGAGAGAGAGAGAGAGAGAGAGGTCTGAAGAAGTCTTTAAATTGTGAGAGAGGAGTTGCAATAAAAAGGGTTAGGGAGCGGGGGAGACTGACATCAGACGGTGCGTCAGCTTGACAGCTGGCGGTTCTCCAGTGGCCCGGGCCACATGCGGATTAGGGTTGAAGACGGCTACGTCTCTCAACGGGTCGGGTCTCGTTTCAGAGGGCTAGAAAAGGGTAAATTACATGCATGCCAAATGATGCCTCCTATTTATGGGAAACTTATTTGGAGAAATGATAGATTACAAATAATCTCTCTAATTTATTCATTCTATTTGTAGACAACTTCATTTTTCCAAAAATTGAGAGGTGATAACTGCTACCGAAGTCAAATTAGTGGAATTATCTATAATTTGTCTTTTAGAGTAAATAACTTTCTGCATTAATACAATAAGAAAATGAATAAATGTTTAGTTCTATTATAAGATGTTTTATTTTTCAGAATAGATGTTATCAACTTGGCATAAAAGCCAAGTGATATCAGAGAGTATCGATGCTGAATATATATGTGCAATTAATAAGAAATATCATGTGACTATCGATTAGAAAAATCTATTTACAAACCGTCAATCCGATTAGAATAAGCTTACGGATGTTAAAGTAAGAGAGAGAGAGAGAATCTTGGGTAAATTTCCCTTGAATTGAATATTGAGTGTGCACATATATTTATACAAGTAGAGGAGTGTGAGGTTTGTTCTCCCAAGCAATGTGGGACTAAAACCCACTACAATACACTATTATCAACAGCCCCCTTCAAACTCATGTTGGATCAAACAAAGTGAGTTTGCGTACAAGAAACTGGAACCGATGAACAGGTAAGGCCTTTGTGAAGAAATCTGCAAGCTCGTCAGCGGATGAAACATGAGGAAGTAGAATTGTCTTGTCCTTGATAACTTGGTGACGGACAAAATGAGCGTCGATCTCAATATGTTTGGTCCTTTCATGAAATACTGGATTATTAGCAATCTGGATGGCACTCTTATTATCACAGTAGAGAGGAGTAGGAGTCGTAACAGAAATACCGAAATCACTGAGAAGGCGACGAAGATGAATAATCTCTTTAGCTGTTGTGGACATTGCACGATACTCTGCCTCAGTACTGGAAAGAGCAATAACATCTTGTTTCTTACTTCGCCAGGAAATAAGGGAATCACCAAGAAATATACAATAACCTGTGGTAGACTTTCTGGTAGTTGGATCACCAGCCCAATCAGCATCAGAATATGCACAAAGCTCTAACTTAGATGTAGCAGGAAACAAAAGTGAGCGAGTGCTAGTACCCCGGAGGTACCGAAGAATCCGTAATAAGACAGCATAGTGTACAGAACGTGGGGCACTAACAAATTGACTGACAATACCAACAGCATGAGAGATATCTGGTCGAGAGATGCACAAATAGACCAACTGACCAACAAGATGTCGATATCGGGTAGGATCAGATAGAGGCTCACCGTCAGTAGAGCAAAGTTTGACATTCTGCTGGAGTGGAGTATCGACAGTTGTATTATCAGTTAACTCAGCTTGATTTAGAATATCTGAGAGATACTTCTGTTGAGACAGTAATACACCCCGCGGGCCTTGAGAAATTTCTAGACCAAGGAAATACCGAAGAGATCCAAGATCCTTCATGTGGAACTGTTGTTGCAACTGAGATTTTGCGTATTGTATACCTGTCATATCATCACCTGTAATGATCATATCATCTACATAGATGAGTAATAAAACCCTGCCACGCGATGTAGTGCGAACAAACAGAGAAGCATCTTGATGACTTTCTATAAAGCCCGCTTTGAGCACAACATCGCGAAAACACTCAAACCAAGCGCGGGGTGCCTGTTTGAGACCATAAACAGCACGACGAAGGAGACATACATGTCCCGGAGGAATATTTGACCCTGGAGGCGGTTGCATATATACGGTCTCTGATAAAGAGCCATGAAGAAAAGCATTTTTGACATCCATCTGGTATAAGGGCCAACGATGAGCAGCAGCGACCGCAAGGAGAGTACGCACAGTGGGCATCTGAGCAACAGGAGCAAAGGTCTCCTCATAATCAATACCTTGTTGCTGAGTAAAACCTCTAGCCACTAAACGAGCTTTTCGACGTTCAATGGTGCCATCAGGACGAAACTTGACCTTATAAACCCATTTACTGCCAACAAGAGAGATCCCAGGAGGACAGGGAACAATATCCCAGGTATGAGTTTGCTGAAATGCTTGAAATTCCTCAGCCATAGCTTGTCGCCACTCTGGAATTTGAACTGCCTCTTGGAAGGACTTTGGCTCAACAATAGTATGAATGGCAGCAAGAAAGTTATGAAAGATAGGTGAATAAGAAGTAACAGAAGCATACCGGGCAGGCATGACATGTGGGCGTTTGCCTCGACGAAGAGCAAGAGGAACCTCAGGCGGGGGAGATGCTGGCGCAGGTGCATGAAGATCAACAGTATTTTCTGGAGTGAGAGTTGTGTCCACAGGATATGGATTAGATGGTGTAAGAGAAGACTCAGGTGAGGAAGAGTCAACAGAAGGAGAGGGAGAGATGTCAGGGAGATCTCGAAAGGAAAATTGAGGTGAAGAAGTGGGTGATGCAGTGGACGGGGAAGCATGATCGGTAGAGTGGAGGAAATTAAAGTCATCAGAAGTAGAATAATATGGAGAATCCTCTTCGAACTGAACATGACGAGATATATGAACTCGACGAGTTGCGGGATCATAACAACGATAACCTCGATGTTCTGAACTAATTCCTAAATAAACACAAGAAACTGCTCTGGGAGACAATTTATCACGTTCGTGAGATGGCAGAAAAACAAAACATCGACAACCAAAAACGCGAACTAGATCATAACGGGGAGGATGAGTATAAACACGACTATAAGGAGTAGCACCGGAAAGAGAGCTAGATGGAGTGATATTAATGGCATGAGTCGCGGTGAGAATAGCCTCAGCCCAGAAACGACGAGGAACAGAGTAAGAAATGAGCATTGATCGGGCAGTATCGAGGATATGACGATGTTTGCGTTCAGCAACACCATTTTGCTCATGAGTGTAGGGACATGACTGTTGAAAGATAGTCCCATGAGAGGACATGATAGAGCGCATGGCAGAGGATAGGTACTCTTTGGCACAATCAGAACGAAAAACTTTAATACGAGATTGCCATTGAGTGAAAATCATAGCAGTGAAGGCTTGATAAGCAGTAAGTACGTCAGAGCGATTCTTAAGTAGGTAAACCCATGTAAAACGAGAGAAATCGTCGATAAAACTAACATAATATAAGTAGCCAGATGAAGAAGGCAAAGGAGCTGGCCCCCAAATATCAGAATGTACTAAATCAAATAAGGAAGTGGATACAGATGTACTCATTTTAAATGGTAAAGCAGTGAATTTAGCCAATTTGCAACCAGCACATGACTCAATACTAGAACTAGATGATACAGGACCAAGTACTCCAGACTGAATAAGACTCTCCAGCCTTTTATTACACACATGACCAAGTCGTCTATGCCATAAATTGGCAGGAAGCGAGGTAGAGGGTTTTGACGAACAAAGAGAAGCAACAAGAGAACGTGGACGTATGGACTCTGGAAGGTGAAGATATTCCAGAAAATACAGTTTGTGCCTCCTACGACCCGCCCCAACCGTCTTGCCCGTCTGTGGATCCTGCACAATACAAGTATCAGAAGAAAATGAGACAAACAGGCCCGCCATGCATAAAGAGCTAATAGAAATTAAATTCAAGCACAATTGTGGAGCCACATAGACGGGACCAAGTGTTAGACGACCAGATGGATCATTTTGTGGGGTAATAGAGCCATACTGAGTAATGGACAATGGTTGTCCAGCAGCTGTGTAGATAGGAGGAAGAGAGGATGAAGTAAAGACAGAGGATAAAAGTGAGGCATTACAAGTCATATGAAAGGAACAACCAGAGTCAAAAATCCAGAGATCATTCATACCAGAGACTGAAGGATTAGCTGAAGAACCAGCAAAATGCATACCAGAGAGTTGTGCGGCGGATGTAGAGGTGATATGTTGAAAAGCATCAAGTTGACGGCGAAGACTTTCAATAGCTTGAATAGTAGAGTCTGAAGTAGTAGAAGGTATAGCATTGGCCAACAATCCTGGTGTACGAGAGGGTTGAGACTGAGGGGGTCGCCGACCACGTCCAGTACCTGAGGAACGTAACTCAGGATGAAGCTTGAAGCATGTCTCAATGCGGTGTCCTTCCTTCTTACAATATTTGCAAGAGAGCTTAGATCGAGCCTGTGGAGAGGGAGCCTGTGGAGAAGTATAATTCATAACAGGAGCAGTGACAGGTACAGACAAAACAGTCTCGAGTGAAGAGGTAGGAGTGTCTGTTGACAAATTGAGTCGTGCTGTCTGCTGCCGGGTCTCATAAGCAGTGAGAGCTCCCATAACTGAGGCCAAAGTCGGAAATTGAGGCTGGTGAAGTAGTTGATCAGCCATAGTTGAATATTCAGGAAGGGACTGAAACAATTGATGCACCTCATGCCGTTCGTACCAGGCTAGCCAGTCTTCATATGTGGAATTACGTCCAGGAAGCATGGAGCGTAACTCTGTCCAAAAAGCTTGCATTTGTCCAAAATGGGACTGCAGAGATGAACTACCTTTGCGTTGTAGAGAAATGCGTTGCAGAAGATATGCCTCCCGTGCACCCGAGCACTCAGTGAAACGCTCAGTGAGACGAGTCCACATGGCCTGAGCAGAGGGAAGCGAGCCAATCTCGACAGTGAGACCAGAGCCAACACAGCGAGTGAGATAATCCATAACACGAAATTCCTGCAATTGCCACTCTGAACTCTCCTTGACATAGAGAGCACGAGCAGTCTGAAGATCGACATCACCACTGCCAGAGGCAATAGTACTGGATGAAGCAACAGTGCTGATGGACGGTGGAACTGGTCCCGTACTGGTGAGATGATCAAGCAAAC